CCTCTTTTCCTCTTTTGGCCCAGGAAATAGGGTTGGTCTAAAGGAAAAATCACGTGTCAACTCAAAATCTGGTCTCTAGATGAGGACTTGTAATTCTAACTGTCCATTGTTCTATGTAACTGCCAGAGCCAGCCAAAACAGCTACAAATGGAAAGAAAGAAAAAACATCCCCAAAAAACAACAGTTGTTTCATTCCAAGGTTTTCTTGTTTTATATGTCAAAGGCAGTTGCGGCTCTTTAAACAGTTTACCCTCCTGCAATTGCAGTACGATTCTTCCCCGGCACTGACTTCTTGCTATATCTGTTTTGGAAATAACCATGGGTTTGAATCCGCCGCCAGCGTGTGGTCTGCAGAAGAGAATTAATTTTAATTCACGGCACTTTCGAATCAGACCACAGGACTGACCACCTCAGAGTCAAGAGCGAGCCCAGGGTTCTCTCTCCCCCTCCAGGTCTGGAGGAGAGCTGGGACGATTTTCTCAGCACTCAGCAAAGCTCTGGCCAAGATGCGCTGCTAGAAGTTGTGTAGCAATCTGGGAACTACTCAGCCACCATGTGTCAGCATCTAAAATAGTCTGAGGCTCGGGGTTATGCTCAAGGACCCCCTAGCCTTGCCAACACACAAAGTGATTAAACTCACGTAATCCATTTAAAGCCGAAAGAGTCAAGGACATCCCTGGAGTCACATTCACTGGGGACACACTCCAGCTTATCTGTCGCCAAAATCAAAGAAAAGAATTGCCTGCTTGCTTTGTCCCTGTGTCTCCTTTTCCTGGGAGCTCTATGCTCTCCGGTGGCTCACGAGTCCCCTCCTTGCCACTCCCACCTCAGTGTAGGCACAAGATCCCTTCCCGGCCCCGCAGGATGGCTGAGCCTTGCCCTGGCAAACCCTACGATAAATCCCCTGCAATTGGGGTTCGTTTCTTAGTTCTTTCTCGCTCCCTCTGGGAAGGTTCCAGCCCCATCTGGGCCAGCTTAAGCCATGCCTGTTGCTTTTTGAGAACGGCCGGCATGTTCTTCCCATGGCTGCACACGATCTGGACACCTGAACGGCGATCCCGAGAGAACGCGTGGCCGACGCTCGCCTAGCAGGAAGATTTTCAAGGCTCTCCTCTCCTCCCAGCCTCCCTGGCCCTTTGCCGCGTGAGGGAGGAGAGACGAGCACATCCGCGTGGTGGTTCTGAGGAGCTGGCTTGCACACACCAAGTCCCAGGGCGAGACCCTGAAAGCGACAGCTGTGAGGGGCCCTCCCGACCCGAACCTCGGGCCGTAGGTCCTGCTCTCCCAGAGGCGCACGGCCTCGGCGCCGCGGGACCAGGACCGCGCCGCCGTCTTCGCACCGGGAACGACGGTGAGCCGGGGGCAGAGGTCTAAGGCCTCAGAGAGCGAGCTGCTGGAGCAGCTCCGGGTTTCTATACTCGCCCCCGTTACTGCCTGCGCTGGAAGTCTCAAAATTCTCTTTCCCAGGCTCCTCCTGCCAGCTGGGTGCCGGGCAGGTTCGCGGTCAGGAGGCGCCGTCCTGGGAACGGGAGGCCAGTACGCTTCTGGTGGAAGCTTCAGACAGGGCTTCCTGGGCTCCCGAGACAGCAGCAAACGTCTGCTCCCCCAGCCCTCGGCTGGCGTGGCTTTCTGCTGTAACCAATCCCGGGTAATAGTGTTTTTCCTCTTCTGTTCCTCTGGCTCTTTTTAGACTTTTTTTTTTTTTAACCCATTCTCTGTAGTAAATTCTCCTCTGTTTGAAGTACCTAGCGTGGTGTCTGTTTTCCCAATTGCTGACCAATACAAGCTCCTACCTAAGTCCTAGAAAAAGAGAAGCCTCGAATAAATCTGAGTCAGTGATCTGAGTTTACTTGGACCTGTTGCTCTCGTCAAATGGGTACGAGGTGTGGTCCAGGCTGTGGCTCGGACGTAGAAGGGTTTCTGTCACACCCTGGGCAGGGTCCCTTGGCTAGAGCTCAGTCCCCCCGTAACTGCAGAGTGAGAACGGCTGCCAGGGAGGACCGTGGACAGTGGTGCCATCACGAAGACACCCCTGGGACTGAGGCCAGAGGAGTTGCTGTTGTACTTCTGCCCCCAGAGGGTAGCATCCAATTTCAGTCTCACTCCCGAAGCATATGTCCCAGACAGTGAGCAGTCAGGAAGGAGTCCTTGGGGTAAAGCACATCAGCAGACTGAGCTGACCAGGTCTCTGGAGGATGGGCAGATACCAACAGTATAAGAGCCAGGCTCCTATGGCCAGTTGCCTTAGCTTAGTCAGTGCCAGAGCTGTCTCTGGATTCAGGGACTTTGGGCCTGAGAGCCTGGAGACACAGGCTTGGTTCTATGCAACCTTGAATAAGTCAGGTGACCTCTCAGGCCTCATCTGTAGACTAGGGGAAGGGCCTAGAATGTTCTGGAAGGGTGGGTCCTGGCAGCTCTAAGAGTTTATGAGTAAACGATCCTCTGGGATGGTGGCTCTCAACCACTTGGAGGGAGCTTTGGAAAAATACCAGGGCCCCAGTGATTCAGATTTAAATAGAAGCCAGAGTTGAAAACCACTGTCCTAGAGCAGTCTGCCTCAGTGTTTAAAGGGCACAGGAATCCCCTGGGGAGCTTATTAAAATGTAGATTTTGATCTGCCAGGTTTGGGATGGGTCACAACATGCTACATTTCTAATAAGCTTCCTGCTGGTGCTAATGCTGCTGGTCCAAGGGCACACTTTTGAGAATGAAGGTATTAAAGTTCTTCCCAAATTTGATATTCTAAGGCAGGTTCTCAAACTTGAGAGCATCAGAATCCCCTGGAGGGCCTGAGGAAATGCCAATTGCTAGACCCCACCCCAGACCTGCTGAATCTGCATTTTCACCAACGTTTCCAGGTGATTCCATGCACCTTAAAGTTTGAGGAGTACTGTCTTCCATCAGTTGCTCTCTTTAAGCACTTTCAGAATGCCCTGGGGGTGGGGGTGGGGGTGCTCCTTAAAGCACAAAGCACTGGGCCCCACCCCAGAGCCTCTGATTCAGCAGATCTGGAGTGAGGCCAAGAATTTGTACTTCTAAAGAGTTCTCAAGTGCTGCTCTGGGCTCCCAGGACCACACCTTAAGAACCATTGCTCAACAAACCCAGAGTCAGGTAACATTTCCAAATCCCTGTTTAGCACACCGAGCGCTGGCTGACCATCACAATTGACAACAAATGAACTCGTCTGTCAGCTGAAAGGCACACAGATATTCTCTGCAGGGCAGTCCCGCAAATGTCAATGACTGCTCAGTGCCACAGGGCAGATCCCTGGACGGAAGCAATACCTCTGCTAGTCTGCAGCGGCCTCAGTAGCAAACCGGACTTTTGGGACAGAGACAAAACTCCGACAAAAGCCATCGGCTTGTGAGGTCAGCTCCAGGATATAAACTCATGTTAGGTCCAGGCTAAAAGCCAGAGAAGTAGGGATGAAGAGAGCTTCTGAAAGCAAAGCTGGGTGCTTATGCTTTACATCCGGGCTGTTGATGCTTCCTTTAAAAATCCACTGTACACACACACCCTGCTCCTCCCAAAGTATGTGCCCCGTCAAGACTGGTATTTTCTTACCGACACAGGAGGCCGGGCGGCCACTCCAGGCCTTGTTGTCCATACACGTGACCGTCCGCTCCCCTTTCAACGTGTACCCTGGAGAGCAGTAGTACTCACACCGGGAGTTAAAGTAGGCGCCATCGACGCACTTAAACCCTCCATTCGCCGGCATGGCCAGGGTGGGACACCGCTTTTCTGAAAAAGAGAAAACGGGATACTCAGCACTTCTTAGTTTTTGTCCGCAGACTTTCAGAGTCCAGAAACGCTGAAAACACAGCGAGTGCCAAGTCAATTGAAAGACAACGGACAGAATGAGAGAAACAAAGCGGTGGCCGCATGCCACACAGAAGGGGCCCACTGTTCCCTGTGAGACCCGCTTGGCTTGGCATCCCAGCTGAGCCGCAAACGGCTGGGTTCCTCAGAAGCAGACCCTGAGACGTGGATTTGTGTGCAAGTGATTTAGTTAGAAAGGGCTCCCAAGGGAGACCAGTGAGTGGTGGAGATGGTAGGACGGGGGAGGGAAGGAAGCCAGGCAAGGTGGGATCTCAGGCAAGGTGGGCTTCAGCCTGCCTCGGCAGGGGAGCTCTGGAGCAGAAGGACACCGGAGTTTGGCCTGCCTCCAGGCAAGGAAGTTGGGCTTCCCTAATCCTCCACCGGTCAGTCCTGGGCAGCTATGGGCCCACTGGGGATGCTCTCCCTGTCCGCACAAAGAGAACAGTCCTCCGCAGGAGCAGAGCCTCCTCTCCCTCTGAAGAAGATCCAAGGGGCAAGTCAGGAGCTGGGGGATGGACACCAAGAATTGGGAAAAGGGCATCCAGGAATATCTGGGTAAAGCACCAAAAGGGTCCAGTCACCGTGGCACATCGTCGGCACGGGCTGGGTCACATGGCTGCAGTGCAGTGCCTTAGTTTCCCCAACGATAAAGTATCGGCACCCCTATCAATAGCCTTGTGGCAAAAACTGGACACAGGGCAGATGCCCAGCATACAACAGGTGCTCAATAAATGGGGGCTGTTTGCAATAACAATGCCATCTCACAGGTGCTTCAACAACGCCCTCTTGCAGGGGCCCAAATGAGAGGTGACTTTTCCTCAAGCTAAAAGTCAGCCCCTGACTTCTTTCTCCCCCCGACACACAGTTGCTTCCCCGGGAGAGCATTCTGCAGTGACTCGCCCTGCCTCCCGAAGCTCCACCCCTTGGGAGAACATTTCTAGACTGTCTCTGGGAACAGGAGTCGGTGACTTCTCCCTCTCCTGGTGCTTCTGGCACGATGTGCACCTCTGCCCCGCTCTCGGCTGCTCCTCCGGGACCCTTGACGGCAGAGCCTGTGTGTGTCTTGTTTCTAGATCCCCAGCACCTTTCCGGGGGCTAGCACGTACGGAACAAACACAACCTGTTCGTTGAACAGACCTCTGTTCTTGCCCCCCTTTCCCCAAACTGCCGATCACACCACCAGGTCTGTGTCATCACTCTTCCAACCACATCTTACAAACCCACTGGCATGCGCCCACCAGGGGGAGTTTTTCTCATCAGGGACCAAGTAACGTTCAGTTAAAAAAAAAGCCCTAATCTCAGAGCCCAAGAACTTTGGCCCTGATTGGCCCCGAGGCCCCACCACGGCTGCGCTACTCACGCTTGCAGATGACCTTGTCAGACCACCGCTTGTTTGACTGGCAGACGAGCTGGGAAGAGCCGTGCAGCTCATAGCCCTTCCGGCAGCGAATGTCGCACCTGGTCCCCAGGGCTGTTTTGTAGTATCCTCCTTGAGGGGCCCTGCAGTACACATCCCCATACTTCACCTTGATGGGGGAGCACCACGGGGTGTCTGCGGGTAGCAGAAACAAAGGAGGGGAGAGATAGGAAAGGACATCTTTAGAAAATGTGTCTCCTCATTCTCCCAAGTCCCTGGCTGGCTGCACTCCAGATTTTGGAATCTCTGAAGGAGTCTTTAAGGTGGGGGCGCCTGGGTGGCTCAGTCAGTTAAGCGTCTGCCTTTGGCTCAGGTCATGATCCCAGGGTCCTGGGATCAAGCCCCAGGTTGGGCTCTCTGCTCAGCGGGGAGTCTGCTTCCCCCTCTCCCTCTGACCCTCCCCCCACTTGTGTTTTCTCTCTCTCTCTCTCAAATAAATAAATAAATAAATAAAATCTTGGGGGAAAAAAAGGAGTCTTTAAGGTGTCTCTGGGTGGGGAGGTTATGATCACAGGACTAGGTGTCAGACGTATCTGACTATGGATCCGGGTTCCTCCATTACTAACTGTGTGATCTTGGGCAAGTTACTTAACCTCTCTGAGTCGATATCTATACCTGAGTACGTATCTATACCCACAGAGGCTCTTATTAAGGACAAAAAAAAACCCACTAATGCATATCAAGCACCTAGCACAGTGCCCAGCACATAGCACTTATTCAATAAATGCTTGTTCCTTTTGGTATTTCCCTGAAGGAGGTAACAGAATTCTACAAAGGGCAACTGATATCATTGTGAACCCTAACCCTAACCATCCGTACGTAGTGACAGGGGACTCAATAACTGGTTAGAGTTTTTCCAAATCTGCACGCATATTCTCTGTAAAAACTCATACTACTATTTTAGTTCATGTGAATGAAGCTGCCATGTCCAGAATTTTGCCAAGGGATATAATTTTGGCTTAAAATCACAAAACACTTGCTCCCCATAGGGAAGCAACCCCCTTTTCAGATGTCCCCAGTTATGCCCCACTTAGATAATGTGGCAAAGTTCCCAAATGGCAAAATTCCGGGGTGTTTTGATTTTGGTCTAGTAGTTGCCCAGAGCACAGCTGGGATCACACTGATAAATCAGAACCTCTCCCCGGTGCCTTTGCAAGGTGCTCGCTGAAAGCCCTAACATTGTTAGGGCAAGGCTAGCTCCCCGGGGGGCAAGTTGCCACGGTGCCCACTGCACAATCGATGGGGACCAGTGCCGAGCTCCCTCAAGCCTGCCAGTGGCTCTCAGTGCCGCGCACAGGAGCTCCCTTCCCCCGGCTGCCTGGCTCTTCTCGCTGCTCGGGCACCTGAGCTGTCCGTGAGCGGGGTGCGCGCGCCATCATGTGGCCAAGGAGGAGGACACCTCGTCTGACTGTCCAAAAAATTTTCTGAGGGTGTTTCTGAATGCTTCTCAGCCCCGAAGACCAGGTCATGCCCAGGACTTGTGCGCAGACTGCTTTTTTACTTTTGTGCTTTCACAACTCCTTTGGCTAACACTTTGATCCTGTAATGTGTTTGCAGACTGCTGCCACGTGCGTGGGTCCTAAGTCAGGACTCAAGCACGCATTCCCTGGCCTTTCAGGGTGTAAGGCATGTCCTGCGGGCTTGGCCTCGAGCTGACAAAGTTCAACCCTGTGGACGCAGACTTGCGGGAGCTTGCCCCAGGCCTACAGACCCTCCTTGAACAAAGTTTCGTTCCTCTGGACTTTACATACCCTGTCTGTGCCAACGGTTGTACGTGAGAACAATCTGGAGCCTGAAGTAAAGCACAAAACAGCACACACGTCTCCATTATTTCCTTCTAAGTATAAAAGAATTCTTGAACCAGTTTTAAATACCCTGCTTCTTTCTTTGGTGATGGCTCCAGGTAAGCCATGAAACTAGGAGATCTCAACATCACGGGTAAATGAGAAGCCCTTGGGGTCTGTTTGCTTAGCGTGCCAAGCTGTGGATATTTCTTCTATCATCAAAAGATCTTAAGATAAATTCTGGAAAAATCCACAGATGCCTACTACTCAAACAAAACTGAGATTTGGAACCTACTGGCCTCTGTGACTACTAGAAGTGAGGTATATTTCTCTCTCCCCCACCCCCCGCCTTTCTTTTCCAACTGTAATAGGAAAGATCACCTACACAGAAACTCCAATATACTCCTGTTGTTTTGGGTCTCAGAGAAGCACTTTTTATAGTTCATCAGAGGACTTCCATGGTATTAAAAAAAACTTAAAAGTCACCTGTCATTTTACCTCTTTATCATCTTCCCCACTGCCTCATTCCCTCTTACTTTCCCTGCGTGTCCTTTTCTCCTTCTAGACTGCAAGGCTTCGGTGTTCCCCATCTCCAGCCTCCTCCTCTTGCTGACTGGGTCCCCCTTACTACCTCTCTCTCCAGAGAGAGAAAGTGAAGCCCCCACTGGGGGTGGGGGAAAGGGTGGTGAGGGAAGAGTGAACATGGGGGGCACAGAGAGAGAGGAGGAAAACGTACTGAGCTAGTGGAGTATGGCGCATGCAACACCAGGCAGAGGCAAAAGCCCTGGGGGGCATCTGGTCCAACTCTATCATCTCTTAGCAACCCTGGACAATTCACTAAATCTTTCAGGGAATCAGAGTCCTCGTCTAGAAATGAGAGGAGTGGATTAAGTTCTTTTCAAAGTGTCATCTAGCTTTAAAGTTGTAGGATTCAAACTCTACCTTACTCCTTTCCGACCCCCTACCCATGCCTGCCTCCTTCCTCCCTCTTCTGACTGATAACTGAGTAGTCTCTCGTAACCCTTCCAGCCGAAGGCAAATCCTTTGTGCATTCTGTGTCCTGATCACAACTCCACTGACGTAAATCCGGGAAGAGTGTCCAATTCTCGGCCTGTCCTTCACTCAAATGTTGAAAATGCTCATATCCTCCAGCTTCTGGACTTTTTTTCAGGAGGGACACGATTTTCAAAGAAGCTAATAGGAAGCAGCATACCTTCACTTTAGCACACGTGTTATGGTTGGCTTTTCCACAAATGTACCCAGGACAAATATTTAAGGCTGGCAGGTCCGGTAGAGAATGACCTAGGTATACATATATCACAAATTCATCCATTTCGATATAATATTTTCGATGCAATTAGATTTTGTCCCATATTCTGAGTCCTCAAATCCTCCCAGAAGTGCTGACTGCACATCTAAAAGCTGGGCCATTGTCAACATGTGGGGAAAAAAATCTTGTTTTCATTTACTCGCGAAAGGAATTCCTTTTGGATTACTTTCCAAGAGAAATCTATGGAAGATATTTTGACGGTTTAACAGCCCTTCTGTAACAGTAATTAAAATGCTAGTGAGTGACTTGAATTGGAAGTGCACCAAAGCACCATGAGTTGAAGTGAATGAGCAAAACGTTTAACACAAAGGTTTTGCGGAAGAAAGCTCTTATGCGGCTTCCATTAAGACACAGTTTATTTCGGGAGAAATCTAAATTGATTATTCAGGAAAGGTTTGTCAGCCCCCTAGGCCAAAGTGGTAAGCATCCCAGTTAACTGGAGTTCCTGGGATAGACAGTGTCTTATAGCAGACTAGTAAGGAACCACTAGCAAACTCTGGACGTTGAGTTAAAACATCTGGATTTCAGACCTCAATGCAATGTTGGCTAGCTGTGTGACTCTGGGCAAGTCACCTACCCTCTCTAATCTGTGGTTCCTTCATCGGTGCATAAAGAATAACAATATATCTCCACATGCCTTCCCCCTTCCCTCAGTTAGTGTGACCACATGATGGCATTCCATGCAAGAGAATCAACAAGCGATGCTTGCCACATTCTGGGGCCACCATAAACATTGATTACATTTCACTTTCTTCTTTTCTATAACTCAAGAACACTTATTGAGTACGTGCTCTGTGCCAGACACTGTGCAGGGGCCTGAGGAGCTAGAGCTAAACCCCCCGTTAACAATGGTTTGCGTTTAAAGTATTAAAACTTTAAAAAAAAAACAGAAAACGGGCGCCTGGCTGGCTCAGTCAGAAGAGTGTGTGACTTCTGATCTCAGGGTTGTGAGTTCAAGCCCCTGGTTGGGTGTAAAGATTACTAAAACAAAACAAAACAAAAACACACATACACACAAAACAACAACAACAACAACAACAAAAAAAAAAACTTAGGAAACTGACAAAAAAAACAATTTCCTAAGACAGATTTTTTTCTTAAAACTCTAGGACAGGCACATATTTTAGCCATCTGGTCTACCTCCCACACCTGCAATGCTGTGAGGTGAGGATGAACACTAGGAACAATGAGCTAAAGGCACCAGACAACTTCTATTGTACAGGTGAAGGGCCATATGTGCACGCATGTGTTTTAGGAAGATTTTTCAACAAGGAACTCAAAGAAAAAAAATTTTTTTAAACCCTCAGTTAGGGCGCCTAGGTGGCTCAGTCGTTAAGCATCTGCCTTCAGTTCAGGTCATGATCCTGGGGTCCCGGGATCAAGCCCCGCATCGGGCTCCCTGCTCAGCAGGGAGTCTGCTTCTCCTTCTCCCTCTGCCCCTCCTCCCTGCTCATGCTCTCTCTCTCTCTCTCAAGTAAATAAATAAAAATCTTTTCTTAAAACCCTCAATTAATTAAGAAGTGTGAGGAATCAGAATACCTCCTTACCCCAAACATCTAATTAACAAGCTTGTCCTTTGCTTGATTGGTTAATTCCTGAGGCACTTAATATAGAAGTTGTGTATAGAAATGAGTATCTGCATTCACGAATCATAAGAAAATGTGGAATATGGTGGGAAATACACCTGGACATAGGAACTAATCATTATATTAGATTGTTCACTTCTGTGGAAAACCAGTGAAGGACTCTCTGAGACCAAAGGCTGACCAGTACTACCCTGATTCTCCCACAGCTTAGACATATCACAACAGAGCAGGGCAGTATCCTCTTGCTAGATTGTGGGCAAATTTCCTGGGTAAGGTGCCACAACAGAACTTTATTAACCAATTTTTCTTCAAATTATTCCTCCACTGCAAAAGGAACCCGGATTCAGAGAGAAATCACCTCAATTTACCTTCTTTTTTCCCAGGGTTCCCTAAGCTTCAGAGAAATGACTCACCAGTAGAAATATCTGTGGACATACTTACCTGAGCCTGCACAGAAGTTTCTTGATTAGGCTTTTTATACCTGGTGGGGGGGTGGATGGCTGCAAATGTGTAGAGATGGAGTTCTTTATCATGAGATTAAAGTTTCAGTGGGCAACACACTTAATCATTTCGGGAGCCAAGCTGGACTCAGAAAGAGCACAATGAAATGAGCTTATGAAAATCAAGTTTTCTCATTCCCCATTCATCTCAGTACATTAGCAGCACGGGGGTCCAGATTTGACTTTGGGTGGTTTACTCTGGACCATTCTGGCTGTAATGTGTGAATCAGGCAGAATTCATGGCTTGATTTTCACTTTCATCAGCTAGAGCTTGGCTTTGCAGAGGTAAGGACAGTAAAGAAACTTAGGAGAATAAAATGACCACTGGGCTGCTGAAGGACAGCACTTCAGAAAATTCCAAATGCTTTTTCTTTCTTTTGTTTCTCTTCATTTTTTTTTTTTTTAAATGGGAGCATAAGCTTATTCAATTTTCAATATTTTTTTTTTTTTTCTGGACAGGTAAATTCTCACTTTAATGTGGTGGTTGTCTGGTCACTTTATTATAGTCTGTTTTGCAGGGCAAAAAGGAAAGGCCTCCTGGCACCAGCAGGTCCCTCATTAGCACACAAGCCAAGCGTTCACCTTTATATCTAGCGTGTGAATACCCGACTTCATCGTCTTCTAGCGGTGAGTCTCCAGATCCTACAATAAAAAAGAACAGAAACTGCAGCAAGAAAAGCCACCTGATATGGACGAATATTTCGAAGCATTGCTTTGGCACAGTCCATGCAAGAGGGGCAATTAGAACGCAGAGCCGAGAGTGAAAGCTTCTGTGGCCATTCATGAAGGGACAGGGGACCTCGCAGAGGGAACATGGCTGGGCTGAGATTGCCAGAGCCAATCAAAATGCACCTCCAACGGATTTTTGGCGTCACCATGTGCCAACTGAAATTCTGGACTCAGGACAGTAAGTCCACTGTACTCTGGGAAGACACCAATGTGTCTATGAATCTCATGCCAGGGGAGACGCAGTAAAATGTGTGTGACTCAGACATGGCCTACAGTTTCTCCAGCAGTCAAAGAAAACTCAGCCTGAGTATTTGTGGTACCTGAAAATCAGTCTGTCCTGTGAAATGAATTTGGGTGGAGGCTAAGGAGGCAAATCAAATGTCTTATCTTAATGACAAAAGGACTACAAAGCTACTCTGGTGTATTTGTAGGAAATGAGGGCCAAAAACAACAATCTGGATGTTTATTTAGCACCTCTGACCAAGGCATCGCTCAAGTAAAGTTTCTTAATGAGTCTTGCTACCCTTGAAAACCACAGCCCCAGAGAGAAAGTCTATATTTAATTTTAAAATTTAAACTCATTTGGAAGTTGGAACTGAAACATTTTTAGAATATTAAATATTAGATTCCAGTAAGTGGTAGATTCTTCATCTTTAAAGTAGTACCAGGGCCCAAACTTCAAAACCGGAGTTTTAAATTTACATATCATATCTTTCCCTCTAGACTTCCTGGTCTGATCACTGACCATGGAGTTGGCACCATCTTGGTCACATGTTTACCTATAGGGACCTGCAAGCCTAACAGACAAGGACAAGAACACTACCTACTATGAGGTTTTTCAAATCCCCATACAGGATAAGTGAAGGAGTAATGGTCCCTGCTCCACATGTATTCTGGATGAGAGATAGAATGGAAATTCAAAGTTGGAAGCTGATGAAGGCTGGACCATGTCCATTTGAAAAAGGACTCCCCAAAAGAGAAGCCCAGTTCCATGTTCTCCTTTGCTCCGGGATTCTTTACTTGCCCTCTGGCTGCCCGGACAGGTACAAAGTTACACAAACTGTTCCTTCCTCAATATCAAAAAGTGAACAAGAAAACCAGTATTACCCTCCGGGAAAGCAATCTAGGAACATGAATCAAAAGCCTATTTTTAAACCCCGTTATCCAGTCATTCCACTTCTGGGAATCTATCCCAAGGAAAGAATATTAAATATCGGAAAACATTTCTACACATAAAGACTTCTTTGCGATGTCACTTATAATAGCAGAAGACTACAAACAGACCAAATAGTCAATCTTATGGTTAAATAAACCATAGTACATTCACTGGATTCATTGGATTGTAATGTAATGTAGCCATTAAAAATAATGTTTATAAAAAGATACAACAGTGTGGGAAAAGCTTATGTTATAACATTAAGTGAACAATGTGTTATAGCAAAATTATACAAATGGTGTGATTTATAACAACGTAAAACAATCAAATTCACAATAAACAATGCATCGAGGAGCCTATGATAATTGGATGTTTTTCTTCTTTCTCATTTAAATTTTCTACTATAAACATGTATTACTTTCACAATGGAAAATAAACTTTATTATTCATGTAACTCAAAGAATCTTAGTTTCTAGAAAACATTCTGAATATATTAGAAGTGTTTCAGAATCTGCTGTCCCTCCCCTCCCACCCTGCCCCCATTTCTCTCCACGTTCAGAGCTGAACTGGAATTCTCTAAGAACTGCTGGATTCTTCAACTCCTTATGGCCTATCTCCTAGTAAGTGTCAAGAGATCTAGCTCGTATTAAGAGCACTTCCCTCTTCCCCCGAGTCATCCTGGCCTCCATACAATCTACCTAGGCAGTAACAGGCTCTGGACTTATTCCTGGTTCGAAGCAAAGAAGACAACTGTCACAGGTTGGGTTCTTTGGGAAGTAGCTTTGGGGATGGAGTTCAGGGCACAGGAGGTTTATTAGGGATCATCAACACCTGTGAAAGGGATAAGAAGGAAGCAGGTTTGGACAGAGGGAGAAGTCGAGCTTTGATGTCAGCCCAATGACAGCCTCTCGGGTTGGGCGGAAATGCTGAGGCTTTATATCCCTGCCTCGATCAGCCACTGGATAGGGCCCATGTTGGAAGGACGTGAACATGGGCCACGCACTCCCGACAGCAGGGGCAGTTTCTGAAGGGGCTGAAAGCTGATGACTGGCCGAGACCAGGATTGCCTCCAGTGGAGACCACTGCTCCTTCCTCGAAGGAAGATCTGGTCGGGGCATCTCCAAGACCACCACCACAACACTCGCTCATGGAACAATAACTCGAGATGTGTAATTGTAAGGGGGGGTACCCTCCATAGAGAAAGGAAGGGACCTAGTAGAGAGGCAGGTGCACCTGGGGTGCACAGCCCCATTCTGCTGGTACATCAGCATTCTAAGACACTTTCGTCACATATTATTATAGGGAAAATTTAACATCTGACCACAGGGGAATGAGCAAACAAGTTATCCTCTACCAACAAGCTATTATATAACCACTAATCAAGTTTGGAATAGGGAAATGTGTATGAAATACAGCTATGCAGGGGTGCCTGGGTGCTTCAGTCAGTTAGGCGTCTGCCTTTGACTCAGGTCATGATCCCAGGGTCCTGAGATCAAGCCCCGCATCAGGCTCCCTGCTCAGCGGGGAGCCTGCTTCTCCCTCTGCCTCTCCCCTGCCCGACTTGTGCTCTCTCTCTCTCTCACGCTCTCTCTCAAGTAAAAATAAATAAAATCTTAAAAAAAAAAAAAGAAATACAGCTATGCAGAAAAGCAGATACTGTAAACTATATACAGAATGAAGTATAAAACTATACACATATATATAATATAATACTAACACACGTATGTCAAATTTGGAATACAATAAGGTAGGATTCCTTATCAGTGGGGGGAACGGTCAATAAATACGCTAGGATTAAATGGATATGCATATACAGAAGAAAAATAAGAGTCCTATCTTGCACCATACCAAAAAACCATTTCCAGAGCCTACATTTGAAAGCCAAAAATTTGGGGAAAAATGCAGAATGTCTGCATGATCATGAGGTAGGGAAAGACTATTCAATTAAACGTACAAACCATAACCTATAAAGGAAAATATTGCTACACTTCACCACACTAAAATGTAAAACTTCTGTACAATAAGAGACACATAAACAATATTTAAAGACAAGTGCCAGGCTGGGAGAAAATATTTGCCCCCCACAGAATACAGAATTACTGGGGCGCCTGGGTGGCTCAATCGTTAAGCGCCTGCCTTTGGCTCAGGTCATGACCCTGGGGTCCTGGGACTGAGTCCCACATCGGGCTCCCTGCTCAGCGGGAAGCCTGCTTCTCCCTCTCCCTCTGCCCCTGCTTGTGTTCCTGCTCTCGCTCTCTCTCTGTGAAATAAATAAATAAAATCCTTAAAAAAATAAAAAATAAAAAGGGAAGAGAGGAAAGGAGGGAGAGAAGGAAAGAAATGGGGAAGATGGCTGGAAGAACATACCAGAAACCTCCATACTCGAGCAGAACTCATGGGTGAAAATTTCCCCTTTTTTCTCTGCTTTTCCGGTTTTCTCCATTGAGCCTATCATTACTTTAAAATTTTCAACAAAAACGTACTGAACAATCGTGAAAGACTAGACATGGCGGACTGTGGTATTTAATATTTCTGGTTCATACCACACCATTGCAAGTCTTCACATCCCGAAGCCTTGATACACATCTAAAAGGACTGCCGCACAAGCCAAGTGCAGGACCAGCTGCCAGAAGCCAGGCTTCTATTCTCTGCTTTGTGAGTTTCCTCCACCTCCCCCTCACCTGCGCACACATAACTCCCACCGTGAGCTCTGACCCTGCTCACTGCCTCCCGGGGTGTCAGGGGTAAACTCTGTGTGTTAAACCACTAGCTCAAGTCAAGACCACTAGTTCAACTCAAGTGTCATTTGAAAAGCGTTAGATGTTTGCCCAAAGAGAAGAAACCAACAGGTTACACCCTGACGAGAGTCTTTATAATGAGCCAGAAGGAGACGCAAACATTCTCACTATTGCTTTTACTTAAATCAGAGACTGCAAGGCAGACATTGCAGATTACCTCAATTCAGAATCCTGGCAGAGGTTACCCTGATGAGCCACTTGATTAGCAGCAGCTCACGGACATTGGTCCACTCAGCCCCACTTAGATTCCCAACCCACTAGTATGGCTCTCCCTAGCACTGACAGGCCGACAGCAAATGACCGTCTCGGGGTACAAGAACAAGTATTCCAGGGTAGAGTGGGCCCCCCAAAAGCAAGACCAATCTGGGTGCACCAAAAGCTGCTGATCGCTGGCCTGGCAGCCATTCTCCTCTTTTTTCTTGCTAAAGACCCCCAGGTTGTCTTTGGCAGCAATGTGCCCTTCCCCAGGAGATGAACGACGATGACTTTAAGTCAGAAATCGCCCTCTGCCAACGACTATTGCTAGGGTAGGCACGAAACCCAGGATTGGCCAATGACAAGTAAGAAGAAGTCCGATTTAGGGGAATGGGGAATATGAGAAAGATTTTCTCCCTGATATAAGAGAGAACTGCCCAAGGAGAAAACTCTTTTGCCCTCTTTCCTCGCTTCCTGCTTTGGAAGCTATTGTGTAAGGGTGAATGCCCGAAGCCATGGCAGCCCTTTTGCAACCATGAGATAAGATGTTGGGACTTCTAAAAATTTTCAGCTGAGGATGGTACAGTGGAAGGATAACAAGAATGTGGGGTCTGTGGGATACCTCATTGGGCCACTAAATCAAGCTCAGACATCTTACCTCCAGACTTCTTGTTAGGTCAACAATAAATGTCCTTTTGATTTAAGCTTCAGTGAATAGCACTGTTTATTACTTGTAACTGAATGTATCCAGACCGATACACAAA